CACTATAATTAATTCCGATAATTTTTCATTTTCTCATCCTCCAGCTGTCGAGAGATGGTAGCTCTGATTTTTCTATTTTATGTGCTAAACTTCCTCCTCCACCCTGTTTCCTTCGGCATAACCATTTGATAATTCTTCTTTATGTTCTAACTTGGATTAAAAGTGACGTATGGGTGGCAAGTACATAAATTTTACCCTGCTCCGCTAACTGAGATCGGAGACTTTAACCGAAACTTGACACCGACCAATTGTGAAAAAAATCGATGGGTTTAATTGCTTTTTTTAAAATAGCTTGTGTGGCAATTTACAGTTCGCGCAATTACGTATATTATGTTTTAAAATATAAAAAGCATAATCTCCTTCTGTCTACCAAAAACAAACTTGATGACTTTACCTGATAATCAAGAACGAAGTCGAACTTATGAATTCCGCTCATTGTCAGATCGAGAGTCACTCACAATATTACGGCATACAAGCAAGCACCACGCACGAAGAGTAAGACGGTAATGACCGAGTTTACGATAGAGAAGGGTTTTTGTAGAAATCCTATCACTCTTTGGGTGAACAGTCACCGAAGAAGGAGAACGTAACTCCCCACCACTTTTATTCACGCCCACGGAACTTTGCGGCTAATCGAAAACGCACATGTACCGTATTCGGACACGGTGAAATACTTAGGTGTTACAATTGACAAGGAACTATTCTGGGAACGCCACATTAAAAAAAAAAAAAAACGAGAACAGCTCCATGAAAATTATAGACAAATGTATTGGCTCTTGGGGAGAAACTCGGCCCTCTACATAGCTACTAAAATTCTCCTCTATTAACAAGTCCTCAGACCTGTCAGGACGTATGCTGCCTGTGAACTGTAGGGCTGCACTAAACCAAGCAGTAGATATCTCATCCAGTCCCTCCAGGCCTAGGCACTAAGGTCAAGGGTGGATGCCCCATGGTTCACAACTAACCGATCAATTAGAGAAGACTTGGGCGTTGAATCCGTCTCTGATTATATCAAAAATGACTCCTATAGAAATATTTTTGCAAGCTTGAAATTCAAGAAATCCCATAGCCAAGGAACTTACAACTAAGGACATGGTGAGAAGGCTCAAGAGGGTCAAACTTCGACATTTAGCCTTCGGTGTCTAATTTAAAACTTTTGTGTCTTATTTACTTTGATACAAAAAAATAGGTCCTTAACAACCTAATTTCCAGAATCCTTTTGCGGACATAGATTCCGCATGAAAGCAAAAGTAATTCAAACTTTTAACATTGTGCAAGAGGCTAATAGTAACTCTGAAGTCAACTTAACCTTCTATTCATCTAAATGTAATTACTAGAAAGACTGGTTGTTGTAAGTACAATTAATTTACTATGTACTGGAAAGTCTATGTCCAGGTTATAACCTGGCGTTAAAGGTAAAGTCAAGATGTATCCTGTACAATGTTCCTTTTTTTTTTCTTTTTTTCACTCTCATTTATTTTTCATTGTTTATTGTAATTCTTTTTTCTAATTCACTACCCTTGTTCTAAAATGTATGAATGTAGTCTGGGTGCTGTGTGAGGATAGGCTATACATGTAAGAGTTAAAAATGAAAATTAAAAACAGTTAATTTGGATGTTATTATATTTGTAAAACAAAGCTAATTTACACTTGTAAGCAGGCGGTTGTAACATAATTTGATGAATAAAAAAAAATTCTATGATGTAATACTAGCTTAAGATAGATTTAACTTAAGGATTAGTCTATCTTTACATTTATGGTGATAAGGTGGTTCTTAATTACGAAAAATCTATTATTTTCTTCTGTTTTACGTTACAAAGGTGTTTTTTTACTTATTCCAATATTTCCAAAGTTGACTGTAACATTAAATCTAGAATTCTTTAAGATTGCATTTCGTAAAAGGTAAAACTTAACATGAAAAAAAAGTGAAGAACAGATACCTGATGCGGTTCAACTAGACAGATTTGAATAAAAAAAATATAAGTGCTGAAGGCACGAAAAAAGGGGAAACATAATAAAAGAACACAAAATTATACCACCAAAGCAAATAAAGTGTTTTCCCAGATTCCAGACGTATAAAACATGATTTTCCTCGAGGTCTTTGCGAAGCACAAATAATAATAATGCTGCAAAAAATATGATTTGCAGCACACAAGAGAAATACATCTTCAATTTTCCTTCATGTAAATAAATTTAATCATCTTTAAATGTTGAAAGTAGTCTTTCAATAGATTTCAAAATATTGCGTTGACGATGCTCAAATAATTAAAGAGCTATACAAAAGGCTCGATTCAAAAGATTGTAATATTCAAATAAATTGAAAAATGAATGTCTAAAAATGACTTAATGATACTGTACAAAAGAAGATACTTACAAGATATGAATACAATAAAATAGTAAAATAATCAAACTGATAAAAACAACGCGTTCCTGGAAAAGAAAGGAATTATTAGAACAGCTCACGGCAAGAGCTGACGGATCCTAACGGCCGAGGCATCCGGGGGTTGCTAAGGTTGACTCTTGCTCTGTAGCTGAAGAACTGTCACTCTAAGACCAAAAATAAGATGCTTGAGTAGCGAGGCTCTTGATAAGGGCGATTAAGTGCAATCAATACTGATGACTGAAGTTGCAGAGGGAAAAGATTGTAGTTTAGATTGTGCTTTTGACTGAAGATGATCAAGTAAAAAAGGAATGGAGTAAAGCGAAAAATAGAAAAGGGATCGTAAAACTCACACTAAGTGTTACCTTTAGAGTTGTCAGGGTTGGTAAAATAGGGAACTAGCTCTGAAGACTGAAAATGCTAATCTTCATTCACATTTCGAAAGGGAAACTTAAATTCTAGAAGATATTGGGTAAGCCTATACGTTACGGCCTTGAGAAGAGAAAGAAAAAACAATTAAGAATAACTCCAAACGATTGAATTTTCCGTCGAAGCGTTTTTGTCATGGTCGCGAATACAAAGGTTCAATGGTTCGGCACAGGTGTAAAATTTAACGCGTTGCAATGAATGGTTGAGTGAATAAAGGTTCATTGGATTGGAACCCGTATGCCGTTTAATGTGCCGCATTAAAAGTTGATTTGTGTAGAGCAAAGTTGGACATTGAACGCATTTGAATAGCTTTCCATTAATATGTCTCTCAAGATGAAATTTTAAGTTTTTTTTATACTTAAATGAATCAGGACAATGTTCACATTTAAATGGCTTATTATCGGAATGCCTCACGATATGTGCTTTTAAATGTCCCTTAGTTTTAAATAATGCAGAGCAAAGTTCACATTTGAATGGCCTTTCATCAGAATGGGTTATTGTATGACATTTTAAGCACTTTTTACTTTTAAATGACGCAGAACACTTTTCACATTTAAATGGCCTCTCTCGAGAATGACTTAGGCTATGTCGCTTTAAGTTGGCCTTAAACTTAAATGATGCAGAGCAAAGTTCACATTTGAAGGACCTCTCATCCGAATGGATCAGTCTATGAAAGTTTAAGTTGCTTTTTTTTTTAAATGACTTGTGACATTCTTCACACTTAAATGGTCTCTCGTCAAAATGTGCGGGGATATGACTTTTCACATCCCACTTAGTTTTAAATGATGCAGAGCAAAGTTCACATTTGAATAATCTCTCATCCGAATGGGCCAATCTATGGCGTCTTAAGTTGCTTTTTGATTTAAATGTTAGAGGACACTTTTCACATTTAAATGGCCTCTCATCGGAATGACTTAAGCTATGTGACATTAAGTGCCACTTCGTTTTAAATGGTGCAGAGCAAACTTCACATTTGAATGGCCTCTCATCAGAATGGACCGTGCTGTGAGATTTTAAATGACGTTTCCATTTAAATATTGCAGGACACTTTTCACATTTAAATGGCTTCTCATCAGAATGACTTAAGCTATGTGCCCTTAAGTTGCACTTAGTTTTAAATGATACAGAGCAAAATTCACATTTGAATGGCCTCTCATCAGAATGGACCGCGCTGTGAGATTTTAAGTAAGGTTTCAATTTAAGTATTGCAGAACACTTTTCACATTTAAATGGCTTCTCATCAGAATGACTTGCGCTATGTGACTTTAAGTTGTACTTAGCTTTAAATGATGCAGAGCAAAGTTCACATTTGAATGACTTCTCATCAGAATGGACTAGCATATGACGTTGTATGCAGCTATTTCTTTTAAATGACGCATGACACTCTTCACATTTAAAAGGCCTCTCATCAGAATGACTTACGCTATGTGTCTTTATGCTCCCGTTAGTTCTATATGATTCAGAATAGAAATCAAATTTGAATCGTCCATCAGTAGAATTTTTTACGATGCAAGGTTTTAATTTTGGATCCAATATGAGTGATGTGTGACGCTCATATTGAACGCGTATCTTCTCACTGGAATACAATGTCATTCCCTCCTCTTGATTAGTTACTTGTAGAACTGCGGGATCAATAAACCCATCGTAATCGAATACGTCCTCTGCCTTACGAAGTTGTGTGTACTTCCTTGAATTACCTTCAATTTCGAGCGAGATCGGGTAATTGTTGTCAACGAATGATTCTTTGGCCGAGTTATGAAGATCATTGCATCCAGACTTCTCATCGAACTTTTGTATACAGATCTTTTGAAACGATCCGTGTTTGAGAGTAAACGGAAGAGCGTCTACGGCTTCATGCTCTCCCTTGATCCTTTTATGAAGAATAAACCGCTCGGTATATGTACTTTCCTCCAGTGTCAAGTTAACGTCATGACCCTCCATGTTACAGGAATTGGCAGCCACAAATGTACCTGTAAACAAAAGAAGAGGAGTTGAGGATTCGAATTCTTTCAAAATTCTGGTCGCTAGCATTTTTAGTGTGAACCGAATTCGTTGACTTTGCCTGTACTTGGAAATTTTAGGTATTGAGATGCATTAAAGTGTACACTACACACGCTAACAAAACTTAATCAACCCAAGCCTAATTAGGTATTGCGTCACTGAAAGTGAAGTAGGTAACGAAATAAATGTATTGAGTCCCTTATTTTTTTGGTCCTTCTTCTTTTGCGTTTTGGTAAAATTATGGTTAAGATAGAATGACGTAATATGAGTGTACCCAATTTCGCTCAAGTATTCTTAGAAAATAAATCGTAAAACGAGATTTTAAACTTAACAACATTGAA